CACTTTGGTTTTAATCAGAGATGTATGTACACACGAGACTCACGCGGCAGCCATTTTTGATATGCATTGATTAGATTAACAGAACATTATTATTATTAATATTATTATTAATATTATTTTTCGCATTTTAATTAGGATTTGCTTATCAAATTTTTATGCCAGTATTTGACAATTGTCAACAATAGTCTCTTACGGTATTTTACTTTTCAATACTAATACTAACAAAATTCGTACAAATTCCCTCTTAGCTTATGGTGCCAAAATATACTAAATTTACGAAAAGTGGGTACGAAACACCTAAGGTAGAGACCCTAGATATACTTTGGAAAAGAGTTGTGACACGGACATTTTCTGTCTCTATCTTTATGGGTAGAGGTGAACTCGGCACCGAGCCTAATCCGTCATAAAATAAACACGCCAATTCGGCACCAGCAATTTCAGGTAATTTTAAAAACTACCCTTTGACGATAAGCCAACTCGACACCAACCACCCGCTTCAGGTAGTTCATGAATGAACCAGTAGTAGCAGCTTATGTATATATATAGACCAGTATATATATTAAAATTCAATCTATACATATCCCAGCAGTGATAAAAACACGTAGGGTTCGACAAGCCGAATTGTTTTTAGAAGATGAATTGCATCAACTTAAAAAACGGCATCTTAACAGACTACGAATTCGTCAAACTGATATCGCATAGATACAAAATTTGTAATTATTAATAATAAGATTAATTGTATATAAAATAAATCATTGTATCTAAGTATTTTTCATTTAATACAAAGTATTTCATCTAGTTTTCAATTATTACACAGGCCTGCAACAAAAAACGTGTCTTAACTTTGACAGGTTGTTGGTCTACTAGATTTATGGACACTGATAACGGAAAAAAATTGCAAAAAATTCCAGCACGTTTAGATCCCACCTCCACAAAAAAAAAGAATAAGTTCAATAGAATGAAAACAGAAACCTTACCTTGCCTTCGCGTGTAGAGAAATGACTTATTCGATAGAGTTTAGTACGTTAATTACAGGAAAAATACTAACAAAATTCTATCAGGTCTAAAAAAAAAATATTGTTTAAATAACATAAAAATATGTAATCCTCGAGTTATCGCCTAGATTTTTAAACGCTAATCACGAGAAAAAGCTATTTAAAACATTCTATCACCTACAAATTTTAAAAAACCAAAAAATTAAAGTAAAAAATAAAATCGGTCCTGTTAACAGAAAAATCACCTCATCCAATAAATTTTTGTATGTAGATTATGAAAAAAATCTATTACGTATTTTTATAATATTCTTATACTACTTAAAAATTTCAGTTTTAATCTTGTTTTACAAATAAACCTTACGTGAAAGCGACAACCAGATATCATAGACGTAATCAACGCTAAAAAAACTACCCAAGACAGCCATCAGAACAAAAACAAATTTTCAAAAGTTAAATTTGCAGACTTGTGTTATTTATTTGCATATAACTATTTGAATAGAGGGAAGGTATCTCGGGGAGAGGGCGGATTAATCCTTGTTACCATACCTGGTGCTGTAGTGCCGAGTTCACCGATCTTTATTTGCGGTTCGGTGCCGAGTTGGCCTATCGTAACTACCCGCAAAATTTACCTGCGATTAGTTGGTGCCCAGTTGGCGTCCGCCCATCTTTATTACATGACGGTCAGTTATGAAATAGCTATAGTGATTGCTGTCTTTATCTAATTCAGTGATTTAGTATCAAAAACTGCAAAAGAAATTTATAGGTTAAGTTACATTTTCAAGCAGTGGCGTAGTGCTCCAAATAGTTTCTTTGAAATTTTGTTAACAGTACTGACACTGACAGTACCTTATATTTAAGAAGAAGTGTTATGCGGTTAAGCACTTCTTACAATTTGCAACCGGCATCGCTGGTAAAACAGAAAAATACGGAATACCTAATCATACTGATCTACACTTTATAAGATTATATCACAATTTGCAGTTAAGTTTAAACACCATTCTGTACTTAGGTACTATCGTTGTTCCCAGCTAAGATTTGGAGAGTGTATCACATTGTCAGTGTCCAAACATTTTGCTTCTGGTCAAAACAACATTTTGTAATCTAACGAACAGAGAAGGTAATGTGCACCGTGGTAAGAAATTTGAAGCATGTTTAGTAGGTTCTCTATCTACTACTCTATGATAAACAGTGTTTTTACAACGTCCTCACATTTCCATCATGAATATTTGCTCTGATATGTAGAATAATCCCAGTAGAAATATATAGATTCATGTACCTCTATATTAAATAAAACTTACAAGTTAAAATTTGTTACATCTTTTAATTAAAATAACAATGAAAAAAAAATACAAAAACAAGCATGGTCATCGAATTTCTGTAACTCGAAATAATTAAGAAATGTTCCACAAACAATTAATTAAATTGCCGAAGAATACATGAGGTTGGATTGAACATTTTTAGATAAAGGTGGAACGTTAGCAGCAAAATCAACATTCCTACTTTTGTTATTTGGGTTAACTATTGAATTTTGGAACTGCGTTTTTGTACTTTTGTTTTTAATTTCTTTTGCAATTCTAGATAATGTGTCTCCGTGTGTGGAATTCCCAGTAAAATGATAACATACGATTTGCTTCCATCGTAAGCTTACACCTCCTAACATAAAAAACAAAACATAGGTAGCGACTTCATTTAAATTTGTTAATGTTGTTTCCCAAAAGTAATGAGGAACATCGACAGTATTCTTTACCTGGATTGATTGCTGCTTCGCCTAAAAATAAACAATAATCTCTTTCCTAATCGTTAAAATTTTAAATTTTGATTGTTAAATAGGTAAAAATTTCATGTAAAATTCCTGGTAAAAACGGTATGTGCTGAATTTTACGGCATAGAGTTCCACTTTGAAGGTAACGGAAAATTTATATTCAAAAGATATAGTTATGTCCTGATGTTCCACAGACAAATTTTTGTTTTAATGGCTTCTTCTATTGTTCTATTGTTCCAGCGTTTTGGTAGTTTACATTTCACACTTCAATTTTGAATTTGCTTTTCGTTGAGAATCCCTTTTATAGTTCTGTTTTATGCATCGTCCTTATTTTTGTAATTTATTACTTGCCCTTCTAAACTTGAAATTTTTGCTTTCAAAACATTAATTTCTTTTTCAGCACCCCGCGTTATTTTTTGTTGTAACTTTTTTTCATTTGCAGTTTTTTGATGAAGTTGTCGTTTTCGAAAATAGTCTGCTGAACTTCATCAATAACATTTTTTTTTGCCAAGAACCGGTCATTTTGACGTAAATTCAGCCACATTATAAATTGTTGGAATTGCGTTCTCACATATTTTGCGTTCACTTGAAATATAAAATTCTCTTTTTTGAAGTGAACCTGTTGACCAAGGATTAGATGGAAAATACAATTTCGGACAACAACCTCGCAAATGTAAGCCCTTTTGCCAATTTTTCAAGATGGATATTGCATCTGTTCTTTCCATTTGTTAAGTAATATCTTGTTTTCGGGGCCTTTAAATAATGAGAAACCATTTGCTTCTGTATTTCTACAGTTTCGTACTTACACAACAGACGACGACTACGAGTATTCTCTTCCACGTCTATGTACTAAATGACAATTACAAACTGTCAAAACATGACTCAAAAAAGGCATCCGTAGCCAGCATAGTAAAATAAAATTTACCATTAATTTTGACGTTTCGTGTCACAACTCTTTTCCAAAGTATATCTAGGGTCTCTAACCTAAGGTATTGTAATACACTTAATACAAAACTTATGTATATATATATATATATATATTTTGTATATATTAACGTTTTTATGTATTCAAATGAAATCGCATTACTTACTTATGAAATGAAAATTCTCCACCCGGTGAATATACGCGATCACACACAAAACAACAATTTGGTTATGTTTTCTATCCTTTACCTCCTCACGTCACTGAAAAAGCACTGACTGAGAGGGAGTTAGAGCTACGTCTACTACGATCACTGACTACGATGCACAACTACGATGGCTACGCGCAAAGTGGAACTATTTGGCTTCTCTTTAATCTCCCACCTCACTGGCCGCCTCGCCTGTTATAAATTATCATTATTCTTCATTATTGGCTTACGATGTTTTTATGACCCACGTCCGGTAGTCGTCTGTCCCAGCGCGTCAGGTTGATTTAAAGAAGAATTGCTGGTTGCGTTTAAGGCAACAAATGGCGCCCAATTCAAACTTGTCTCTCGTCTAGCGTTCCCGGATAAGATCATCCGCATAAACAAAAACACGACAATTAAAATGCGCTAATGTATCACTGAAAAAAACAACAAATAAAATAGGTCCTAGATTCGATCCTTGCGCCACTGGATTTGATGTAAGTGTGCTATTTAAAACCGTTATATTCAACAAACTGTTTACGATCACTTAAGAAAAACTTAAATAAATTTAACAAATTATTACATAAAGCAATAGACTTAAGTTTATTAATAAGCAGAGTTAGTTTATTCGTTTGCAGCGCGTCGACCCATAAGGTACTAAGGTACGTTTTTCGCCGTGCTCTGCTAATAAGGAATCTTTAATGGACCACACCGAAAACAAAAAATTTATCGACGCAAATCGCCAACCAGGTTGGCATTAACTCAGTTGGGTTTTGTGTATCTAATATCAATGTCATTTGATAAACCCTATTTGATTCAATGAATAAAATATATTTCTACCGTCATTAATTTTTGAGACATTCTGTATTAATAATTTTAAAATGTTATCAAATTCTTATACATATATGACTTGTCTAATAAAATTACCAACAGACAGATAAACACAAACGACAAACAAACAGCAAGAAGAGATCTAGTTTTTCATACTGTAATATTTATTATGGAACACCGAATAACATTAAATTAGGCCTCGTCAAATGAAGCTTATTGCAAAACTTAGGATTTAAAAATCTGTATATAGGAATATCACTTGAATACAACTTACATTGAAATTCATTTTGTCCAGTTACTTACCAAATTCGTTACTCGATGCAATGTCTTCAGGTTGAAGTTTAAATTGCATTTCTTTTAATCTAGAGTGTAAAGCTCTTGTATGTATGAAAAGAAACAATGTCGTAGAAACTGCAACCAAAGCTATAAGCTCGCTCGTCCTGAAACAAAAATAATTATCAATAGTAACATCAACATTAATAATAATGATAAAATTAAGATCGAAATTAGAGAATTATATCCGGTCTTATTACTCATGATGATAGAAGTTTTGCCGTCAGTTCAAGTTAGTATGTCAATATTTGTGGTTACGTCTTTTCATCAACTATTCATTAGCTAACTAGGTAAAAATACAAGTGCTCGTTCCACGCACAAATCTTAAAGTCATCACATAATCTGAACAACGATCTCACCTACTGCCTACTGCCATCTGCCGTCGCTACCAAATTTTCATTATTGTATTGTATACGTACATGAACACAAGCCTACTACTTTTTTCTTGTTCCGGTTTTATTCATATTTCTTTAGCGAATGGATAAAATAAATTTTCGCACACGACCTCATTCGTCATCTTCGGGGAAACCATATGGATTTTCGGATCATCCAAATGTTCAAATTTAGTGAAAAAATAGTCACAATTTCCAGGTGAAACCAAAATACCCCTCCGATGGACTGTTTCACCGTTATTGTCGCTACTGGCACCCCAAGGATTACCTCAGTGAGCATGTCTCAACGACAGCTTACAACCCCACCACAGTTCACATAGATGGTCACATTTTCCCCACTATGGTCGCTACAGATGCGGAAAACAACCTCAAGGGCTCAGTATCAGCTTCAGTATCAGCTTTCGCAAGTACCAAGGTTACACCCCCCCTTATCACGCAGAGTCGGCGGTTGTCTTCTCAGGAAAATACCTTTGTTGCTAAAATTTGAAGATTTTCTTGATACTGTCACACAAGAGAAACCTCCAAATGTTTTCTAAATTTTTTGATCGAATTCCTTGAAACTACAAAAGCCAGAACATGGAAAAGTAACTCCAAAAACAATTTGTATTGTCCGCATCAATCGCCGACACCCCTGCTTTCTATTTATGGGAAGAGGTGAAAGCTCTTTTTTCACAAGTACCTTCTGAGAAATACTTATCGGTACGAATTCCAGCGAAACGTTTTTTCGCAAAGCTAAAACTATTAGCGCAGAACTTACAGCGCCCAAGCTTGTTCTGCTTGTAGTAATGAACAAGAGAGGGGAAGGGCAAATCGCCAGCTTTGGCCAGCTAAATGGAACATTTGGGAACATCTAAAACAAGAAAACTCAATCTCGTTACACGAAGACGGGATAATCTTCCAGAAAGGGACTTCAGGTAAATTACTCCAGTAAAATGGACTAGATTTTCAGCACACAGAAAACTATTGTGTTGTAACCACCATTTACAGCTAACAGACCAGCAGACATCATACTTATCAAAAAACACACGAACGAAGCCATTCTCATTGACATTGCTATTCCTAACACAAACAACATTATTCAAACATACCACACCAAGATTTCAAAATATCTACAATTATTATTATCGATAGAAATGAAATCCATGTTGAATCTTAAAAAAATTTCAATTCTACCCTTAGTTATCTCTAATGTAGGTGTAGTCCCAAATAGCTTAGTTGAGAATTTAAAGACTTTGCATTTGAATGATTCAATAATTGTCAAAATTCAAAAAGCTGTTTTGTTAGGAACATGTCATATTGTTCGTAAGTTTCTCGAACAGTCTGATCATGTGAGTCAGATTAGATTAGCACCAGTAGGTCAGAGTAGTGTAGATCACTTTCCAAGTGATGCGCGGATAAATGATCGATAACTACTAGTGATGTACCGACTGTAGGTCCGGCCGTCTAACCGACTAGCCGATTGATCGGCCAGTAAAAACCGACTAGTCGGCCGACTGTTCGGCTTTGCTAAAAGCGGTTTATAAATGCGATAGATAGTGTGCTTTTTTCTATTTTTTGACTACCTTAAAAATTTATTTTATTTTAATAAAAGGAATAACTGAAGTTCCTTTGTTTTCCAAAAAAATGTGTTGAATTTGTTTGGATAATTTTAACATTTAATTTTTTGTAGTAACTCAGTACAAAAATGAAGAATAACACAATTTAGGGCCAGTTTATACAATATTTTAACTGAGATTAAGTTGATCACGCATTTAACAAGGCCATTAGCGACGTTTGATTGGCGTAGAGTCGGTCACATGGTACTTTAACGCCGTTTTAAAAATTAAATCGCAATTAAATATTTAATTGAGGTTCTGTAAACCGGGTTTAATCGTATTATATACTATTTTAATTTTAATAAAAAAGCCGACCGATCGGCTGTTTAGCCGACCAGTCGCCGACTGCCAGCCGACGATGAAAAACGGCCGAATAGTCGGCTTATCCGACCGGTCGGCCACTAGTCGGTACATCCCTAGTAATTACGCTAGACTTTTGGGGATGGGGTGAGATTAGAGAATTATAGCAGACTAGTTTGTATGCTGTAATTCTAGAATCTCGAAAGTTGTTTTGTTAATCTAATCAATGCATATCATTACTTGGTCTTAGTACCCGTAATGATAGAAGTCTTGCCTGAATGCTGATCATTTCCGGGTCAGTGGTGGGTCTTAACAATAATAATAATAATAATACTTTATTTCCTACAGGTTACAAAACCCAGTTACAGGAAACAGAAAATAAATAAACTAAAACTAAAATGAGAATATGTATGATTAATATAACATAAATGTAGGTACCTATCTGAAGAATATAACATAATAAAACTACCTATCTACCAAAAACCTCAATGACAGTCATTGATAAATTTAACTGAATTAAAATTTATATCGCAAAAAGAAGATATATTAAATAAATTTATTCAATTTTGACATGTAAACAAACGTTTATTTTGCTGTCAGTAGGCCACTAAAGCTTTGGTTTATCCGGTAGCACCATAAAATTTTTAAACCGCTAGCGAAATAAAATTTTTATTTTAAAACCATGGTTACCATTTCTATAATTTCTCCAGCGTCTTGCTGCTCTTTCCATCTAAAGAACTTTTGATACACTTTCTGATCTGGTCTTTTCTGGGAGCAAGTTTTGTCGTTAGAATCTTGCATGATTTTGCAATTTTTCGATAATTTTAGTTTGTTTAAAATAAACAAACACCGTCGCCAGAGTCACATACTACACACACACACCTGATATTGTACACTAAATTCTACGCATATAAAACTTTTATTTGGTCGCTGTCAATTCTGACGTTTCTCGAGTCTGAACTTTGAATCACCAATTTTTTCACAATTTGGGACTTGGGGTTGTCAAAATTGAATAAAATTTTGTATTACACTCGCGGTTAAAATGAATGTGTAACTCGCGGTCTTAAGGCGCTCGCGGCATACGCCGCTCTCGCCTTAAACTGACCGCTCATTAAACATTCACTTTAACCGCTTGTATAATAAATAACTCAAATCTATATTAATAAAAATGAATCGCCGAAATGTATGCACGCCCATAACTTTAGAACGGCCGCACCGAATTGGACGATTCTTTTTTTTACGTGTTCCTTATCGTCAGGAGAAGGTTTATATGTAAGAATATTTATAAAAAATGAGACGGCTAAAAGATAAAGACAATTTTAAAAATTTTGCACGGGAATCGCCACTTGGGATGAATTTGAATAGTTGGCCATTCCTGACGGACCTGTCGCCTGACTGACGTGTCACACAAAACTATTTCTTCCGTGCGATTGTGAAAAGTATTATTGCATTTCAAGTCGTTGTTTGTTTTTTCGTAACAAAAAACGTCGTTTATTTCAAGAAAAGTGTTCGTTAAAGTGAATTCAGTTACGCATTGCGAAAGTTACAAATTAATTTTGATCTGCCATTCTATTTACCTATCTTCACTTTGTTGGTTTCGACAAAACCTCAAACTTTACCGTTATTCGAGGATTTGATTTGAAGTTTTCAGTATTTTAAAATTCTCAAGACAAAATTTACAGATTTGATTGACTGCGAAAATAATTCTGTGTCGTTTTATCAAGTTCATTACAACGCCGAGAAGACGACAAGCTGACGTAGGTCCAATGATTTATTTCATGGGTAATTCGGATACGGAAGTTGATCAGCGTCGTGCTCATAATCAACATAATAGTCAAACATTGAAGCGAGACATAGGGTGGTATGAATAAAAGTGAGTAGATACTCATATTCGAAGTACGAAGTACCTAGAAAGAGTAATAATCTTATATACCTGAGCATCTACTCTATGTACTGAGTACCTACTTGGAAACATTGTATCTCCCCGGACACAAATTGAACATCTACCTACGCGTTTTGTGAGCATTTAATCTAAAAATGAGCATCGGCATGGCAAATGATTGAACTGTCTGTAAAGCAGCTTAGAAAACGAGTAGGATCGTTGTAAAAGTGAATTTTGACTAAACATGGATACTTTAATGAACGTGGAGCGTCGTCAAAAGGTGCATTCAGTTTGAAAAACACATTAGCAGCGGGAATATCGAAAACTTTTCAGGTAATTAACTTTTATTTATGCATAAATTATGCAGTACGTTTTTTCTAACACTGGCCATAGAGATTCCCATCTCAAGGTGTCTACCCCATACTGACTTATATTTTGGTGACCCGATTTTTGCCTTGATGGTTGAACACTGTCACTGTTTTCCTTTTTTTGTTGTATCGAGATGCTACTTGAGCATCAAGTGTTACCTATTTGCATCATCTAGAAAAACTAGAAATATTTTGATTTGATATTCGAGTAGATACTTCGTATTTCGAGTATGAGTATCTACTGAGTTTTATTTATATCAACCATTGTCAAACAACTGATCGAACGTTTTTTCGATAGAACTTCCTTCGCACCAAAAGTATAATGTAACATATTCAGCATTTTCGAGTTGCGTCTTTTCTTCACACAATTTTGTGATGACCAAATCAACATTTACAATCAACACGTATATCACCTTGAATTGGTGCAGTGTAACTAATACTAAAAATAATTGTATTGTATCTCCAAAATTATCTGCGAAAATCGAGTGAGCCGTCCCATCAATTTTTAATGATTAACAATTTACCATGGTTACAATAACTTTAAAACGTCTGCAAGATCTCAAAGTAACC